AGGTGAGTAGTGCAGGCACGCATAGGCATAGCTAGAGTAGCTAGCTAGCTTAGCTAGAGACAAGCTAGGCGCGGTGACCGCCTACCTAATCATGCTCCGAAAACGATTCTGCGGCCGAGCTGGCAGTGGACCGCCGGCGCCGCTGTCGCCGTCGTCGTCGCCGGCGGTGGGCGGCTTACGTGACCCTTCATGTCTCCTGGCCAGAGAGATGGGCCTTGAGTGAGCAGTCAAGACAAAGAAAATGTCTGTTTTCTCTGCTCAACTATGGAGTTAATTTGATGCTCGAGGAAGATGAGGGATGAAATCAGATTGAATTCGGATATATTTTCAAAAGCAAATAATCTTGGATGGATTTTTTTTGAATAGCACTGGTTTCGGGAACGAACATGGATAGTTTCTTAAAAAGAAAAAGGGAAACAGGCTAGTAGCCCGCGAAAATCGAAAACCGTCCTAAACTATCTGATTTTTTTTTCAGATATCCGTAGGTAGGGATGAAAATGGATCAGAAACGAATGATAACTATCATATTCATTTTCATACTTTTCTGAATTGGAATCGGAATCGAAAACCCCGCATACAGAAACAAAATAAAATATTATCGAATCCAAATACAGAGCAAATATGGAACAGATCGAATATGATAATGAATATTTGCCTAAATATAAAAATATCTCAAATTGAGCTTGTTGAATCAATAGAGAGATACAGCTTGTTATTTGTTTGAAAACAATAGGTCAATATTTATAAATTCTATCGTCAATGATTTCTAGGTGGTCCCACAATCATTTGTATAAACTAGGAAGATAGCCCGCGCGTATGCGCGTGCATCTTATTTAATGTACGTAAAATTTTATACGAATATCCATGTGTGGATGACTTTGTCTTAAAATATTCTTTTACTATATCTAAACAAAAAATGAACTTATTTAATGTGTTTTGAATGCTAGTTATAATTTTCTTCTGATTACCCTTGCAGCACATAAATTCTAAACTAAAATTACTCGAGTCAGTACACTTCTCAATTTATGAGAAAGTATTATGTCGAAATAATATATGTAGTTCCTATGAGAAAATTTTGGGTATTTTGATTTCCTACAGAGATAACTTACCCCCAAACATTTGCTCAAAATATCCAATTTTTTTGTTAGATGCTATTTGAAGTTTTACATATTTTCATTCCAATAGCGCTGCTAAAAGTTTGAATATTTCTATTTAGAATGGGTTTTAAAACCATTTTTTAAAAAAAACAGATAAATTTTGTTTGTTTTCATGTCCATTTTTTAAAGAAATTTTGGAGAATTCCATTCTATGAAGCATCTTTGAAATTATTTGATCTCTGCAATTTAGGTTGAAAACATAAGTGGGTTGAGCCTACAACCTGACATGGGGTAAAGTCATCTCTTCTAAATTATCTCACTTCAATAGAGTAAGAAATATTAAAATAGAGGTCATGTAATAAATACACATTTCTAGATTGTTCTATACTAAATGTTAGGAGTTTACAATGTAGCGTAGCATGTTCTACCAAAATGAAATAAATGACATGATTTTTAATTCCTATATGGAAGTGACTCATTATATTGGTAAGGCCACCTCATGCTTATACGATCAATATGATGTTCAACTTAGCATGTTTTTATTTTCATTATGTTGTCTATAAAAAAATAACACTAGATGGGGTACACATTATGACTAAAAACAATATCATTTAAAGTTTTTCTCTAATTTATTAGTGACTTCATAGATCATATATATAATTTAGATGCTATGATTATCTAAAGATTATTTATTTATCTCCTAAGTCGATCATCTATTGATAAAAAGCTCAAATATCAAATTGTATGGGCAAATAGCCCCCATATACATGTTGAGAGAATATAATTAAGTTGATAGAAAGTTTTTAGGTGTCTAACCAGATATAACTAATGGGTGCACCGGCTTTATTAAAAATTAAGGTGGGATATTCCGATTTTCAATGATGAATTTTAATATCTTTTTTATTTAGTGTTGGCCTCAAGATGGATGTGGGTCTGGGATGTAATTTTTGTGTTGGCATTTAAATATAGTCAATATGAATATGAAAGTATTGATTTCACTAAAAATATAATAGTTCAAACAGATCGTAAGTTGAATATATGATTTGAAAAGTTATAATTATTTTAATTTATATTGTTCTAAGTTATAGTAAGAGAAGAAAGAGAAGAACAGGGACAGTGGGATACCTGGCTAGACCTTATACGTGGAAGGTTCATTTATGGTTTTTTTCTCCATAAAGATAATTTTAACTTTAGTTATCATAAATAAAGATAAAAATAAGAGAAAAGGAACAACACACACCGCACAGGGACAGACTGGGAGAGGGGGTGTTTTTTCATAAAAAAAATGATTGATCTAACAACCTAAAATAATGTGTTGATGTTTAAGTCGAAACCAATGGTCGGATGTTTCGTTTTTCCTCTCATAATTTTTTATGATTTTTTTAAACTTAAAAGAGACCCATAGTGGTTTAGAAATATTTATAGGATGTTCAATGTAGTTTTAAGTCTTTAACATTGTAGGGGCAGGGAGGAAGAAAATGAGGTTTGGGAGTTTTTTAAAATAAAAATCTAATAACAACCTAAATGATATGTCTGTTTAGTGTAGTTTTAAGTCTTTAACATTGTAGAGGCAGGGAGGAAGGAAATGAGGTTTGGGAGTTTTTTAAAATAAAAATCTAAAAACAACCTAAATGATATGTCCACGATTTAAGTCGAAACCAATAGTTGGATGTTTTGTTTTTAAATTTTTATGATTTTCTCTAATTTAGAAGTGTCATTGGGTGGTTTAGAAACATTTATAAGATGGTTAATGTGCTTTAACGCTGCATGGGAGCACGGAGGGAGGTTTGGAATGTTTTTTAAAAAGATTTTATTTTTTTAGATTTTCTCTAATTTAAGAGTGCTATATACTCCCTCCGTCCCATCAAAACTCAAATTAGAATATGATGTGACATATCTAAGAACAACAAATCTGGACATATGTTTAAAAATATTTATATGATGTTGAATAAACTATTTATTAGGAGAGAATATATAAAGAGTTGGCTAGATCTAATAGGTTGATGGGCTTTTTAGGCCCATAAAAGGTATTTAATTTTAATTGTTATGGGGATTAAAAAAAAGAGAGGAACGGTGGTTGGAGGGATCATACATACGTGCGCACCAAGGCTGACGTCCGGACTCCGGACAGAGATTTTTTTTCCTTTGATTGAAGATAAATCTAACGATCAAAATTAATGTGCCCACCAATTTAAATGAAAATCAATGGTCAGATTTTTGCTATTTTATTAGAGTGACACATGGCGACTCGAGAGCGTTTATAGGATGCCACAAGGCGGTTTAGGAGTGTTTGTAGGAAGTTTGATGGACTTTTAGTATATTATAGATAGATTGACTTTCATCGTAGTTCCCATAAGATACTCGCATATGAAAATGATTTTTCATTTCCTAGTTCCTTGATCTAACCGAAGACATCTCCTCCATGAATAGATTACTTACCATCTCATTTATTAAGTTTTTTTTATCTAGATTGAAGATGTTATTCATTTTATTGCATCGCGCTGAAACTTTTAATGTATGTTTTGCGCTTCTAATAATTTCAAATAAAAAGGTTATAACTACAAAGCAGTGCTTTCTCCGTTTCATATTGTAAGTTGCTTTGAATTTTTTCCTAGTCAAAGATTTGATCAAGTTACATAATAATTTAGCAATATCTAAAACACCAAATTACTTTTATTAAATCTAACATTGAATATGTTGTGATGATATATTTGTTTTGTGTCAGAAATGTTACTATTTTTTTAATAAACTTGGTAAAATTTTTAAAAGTTTGACAAAATCAGTTTAGATAGTTTTCGGTATCCGATCTTATTTTCGGAAAATGATATCTCAAACGAATAATTTTTATTTAGTACCAGATACGGAAATGAATACATATTGCTTTTCTCAGAAATGAAAATTAATATGGAAGACAAGTATCAGACGGAAATCCGAAACGGTCGGAAACTATCTGTATTTGTTTTCGAATATCCGCAGGTAGTAATTAGTTTTTAGAGAAAACATGTATATATACATAACTCTATCATATAAAGTCAGATGAAGACGAACTTTGTATCAAAATTGTAGTGCTCGATGAGATCTATAATTTTGTTGTTGACAATGTTATCATTTGAAATCATTTAGAGGGTTAAATATTCATTACATAATCTCATATCCATTTTTATAAATTCGCACACCAACAATTCAAACGACTTTTTGATGGAGCCGTGCTGCTTGATAGGATTTACTCCTTTGTAGTTTATGAATTCTTTATTTGATATTATTTGAAGTGCAAAACAGATAGTACAAGTTTTGGGGAGGTGAAATAAAACAAATAGTATTTTCAATCTAGACAACATGAGCTTAATAAGTAAGTTGGTAAGTAAACAATGCATGGAGAAGAGATCCTGGGTTTGATCAAGGGACTGAAAATCAGTTCTCACATGTGGATTTCTTAAAGAAATAACCATGAAAATCAAATTTCACAAACAGTTGTGAGACCACCTTAAAAAAAATTGACGATATGGAATTTAGAAATGTAACAAACTATATCTCTTCCTTGGTTCAGGAAACTCAATTTGACTTGTTTTTATAATTCCAATAAATATTCGTCACCATATTTGTTCCATTTCATATTTGCTTCGTATATATAGTCGATTCCATTTCTGTTCCGGGGGTCTTCGATTTCAATTTTATTTCTGAAGAAAATAATACAAACAAATATGGTAGAGCTGTTCCTGTCCGTTTCTAATCCGTTTTCATCCGGATTGAGGAGGACGTGAATTAAATTCGGTCCATAGTTGAGGAACTTATGTTGAACTTCTTTACTAAGAAATGTCGGCCTTTCGAGAAGCTGGGCCTCACGGCCTATGAAGTATTCGAACCGGGATAGAATTGGGCCGTGCCAGCAACAACTCGCTGGGCCCATTAACGGGGTTCACCGTATGCTCCGTATGTTCGAGGATCCCTTTCCGACCGCGCCACCGCCACCGCCATCGCCCATCGCCATCGCCATCGCCACGGAGGAGGAGCAAGAAAAGGCGGCGGGAAAAGAGAGCGAGCGGCTGGGTTCACTGGTCAGGGCTAGTGCGTGCGGTGTTGCGCTTGCGTCCCCATCGATCTTTGGGATGAACTTTGCGGTAAGCAAGGTATAGTTTCGCCATCCGCGAAAGGGGCGCGAGATTCGCTGCCCCCTGTCTCCACAGCCCAGCCACGCACGCAGCAGCATGATGCCACATCGCTCTCGGGTTTCTTTTTTTTTTTTTTGCCGCGGATAGGATTGGAATCTTCCTGTCCCTCTCCTCCTCTACAAGTGTGTGCGCTCTATCGCCGTGTCCCAGCTTCTTGTGCAGGCCTTCTGTTCGATGAATTGCCCACATGGGGCTCCCCCGCAGTGGCGTGCTGGTCTTTGGGCTTGTGTGCGTGTTCCAACTGTCGCATTCGTCTTCAGGTGAGGAGAGCATCTTGTGGCTCAGTCATGGTGCTTTATCAGTGTGTGATGGTTCTTGCTGCCATGGTTAAGGAGTGGGAGGTTTAGAGTGTCTCTCTGATTGTCTTTGCAGATGATGACTTCACCAAGGTTAGGGCGGTGAACCTGGGAGGTTGGTTGGTGGTGGAGGGGTGGATCAAGCCTTCGTTGTTTGATGGCATCTCAAACGGGGACATGCTTGTAGGCTCTCTGGTTCTTGGAGGTTTGGAGCTCATGTTGTGGCAATGTCGTGCATTTTACTTTCTTCTCATGTGACTGTCGGATTTTCGCCTCAGGATGGCACTCAGGTGCAGCTGAAGTCAGTGGGGCTCCAGAAGTACCTGAGCGCAAATGGTGGTGGCGGCGGGAACTTGACAGTGGATCAGGATGTTGCTTCAACATGGGAGACCTTCAGGGTTTGTTGTCTTTTCTGTGTCAATGCTAAAGATTTTGACGATTCATAAATCGATATTACGCGTATATTTTTTTATCATATGCATATATTACTCAGTTCCTACTTGGAGATTCTGTGAAAGCTGCATGAAAAATGGCATTATCTTCATCAGTTTTTAGGCCCATAGCTTATTTTTCTGTTAATGCACTACTTATGTTCCTGAAGTTAGGAAACAGCTAGAAATCAAAGTGTTATTAAAAAAATCAACAAGACCATCAAGTGCTTGAGTCACTGGTTAATAAATGGCCGAGTTTCCATCCTAATTGCATTTTCTTGGTGCTCCTGTCAGCTTTGGAGAGTTTCTTACCGTGAATATCAATTCCGGTGCATCAAAGGTCAGTTTTTAACAGCAAGTAATGGAGATGTGATCTCAGCAACTGCAGATTCACCAGGAGACACTGAATCATTTTACATCGAAAGGAACAATTCAATGCTTCATATCAAGCTTTTAAATGGGGGCTATCTGCAGGTTTTCTCATGTTCTCAATCTCATACATTCATGATGTCAAATGGCAGAAAGCCCTGTCATCAGATACCTTGCTATAGAAAAAAAAAGTTTTAGTTTTTGGTTCATCAGTACCAACGTAAATAGTGACATAGTTGACTTATATTCCATTGTTCAGGTCACAAACAATAATCAGCTTACTTCAAATTATCCTTCCCAGCCAGGATGGGATGATGGTATGGCAACATTTGAAATGACTATTGTTGCCAACAACTTACATGGAGATTACCAACTTGCTAATGGGCTTGGGCCTGATCAGGCAATGGTTGTCTTAACAGTAAGTTTCATAATTTCAGAGCTGTGTCATTCCCGGGGTTGCAGTGCATTTCGTTGCTCACGTACTGTTTTATTTATTTTACAGGAACACCGAAAAAACTTTATTACAGGAAAAGATTTCTATTTTCTTTCAAAAAATGGTATAAATGCAGTTAGGATTCCAGTTGGATGGTGGATTGCATATGATCCTAATCCACCTGCTCCATTTGTCAGTGGTTCCCTGGATACCCTGGATAGAGCATTCTACTGGGCACAGTAGGTCTAGACTCTAAACTGTTGTTGTTAATTACTATTTCCTTTTGAAGTTTCAAGTCTGCACAGTATGGAGGTTCTGATTTTGATATCAGGATTTATGGCTTGAAGTGCATCATTGATCTTCATGCTGCTCCTGGCTCTCAAAACGGAATGGAACACAGTGCAAGTAGGGATGGTTCAGTAGATTGGCCTTCACCAGCTAACATCGAGAAAACACTGGATGTCATTAATTTTCTGGCTCAAAGGTAGCACCGATCCATCCACTATATTTTCTTGTATATCATGAAAAAATTGCTTTAGGTGAATGAAATGTTTCTTCAATATGCAATTGGTGGCATGAGGGTAGATAATGTCATAAGGGCTCTGGGGAAAAAATCGATGTCCCATTCTTTTCTTTTCTTTTCATTCATCTGAAATCATTTCCTACTTGAATTATGATTACTATGATAAATCTATTCATTCATAAGAAAATGCACGAAAGTAAGGAGCCATTGGATCCACCGAGAATCTATCCAAAATAACATGAAAAGCAATAATATGCATAACAACCCGGCAAAATAATATGCATAATACATGTTCCATAGTTCTAACAAGATGTACACTCTTTATCTGCAGATATGCAAACAACCCCTCTCTCCTAGGTATTGAGCTATTGAATGAGCCTTCTGCAGGCGCGGTACCACTAGGCACTCTAGTGTCGTATTACAAAACAGGATACCAGATTGTACGAAGTTATTCGGACAAAGCTTACGTTATATTCTGCCAGAGGATTGGGAATGCAGACCCAATGGAGCTTTATCAGGCTGACCTGGGTCCAACTAACACTGTTGTAGACTTGCATTACTACAATCTGTTTGATCCGTTTTTTGAGAAACTTAATGCAACAGAGAACATACAGTTCATATACAATAACAGAATGCCTCAAGTGCAGGCCTTGGATAAAGCGAATGGACCTCTTGTTTTTATTGGTAGGTCCTGCAAAATCAATTTCCTTTGCTCTTTTCTTTTCATAATTTTTTCTTCTTCTCTGTAATGAATAATGGTGCTTTCTCAATTTATCCAACTCTGTGCAGCCATTCTTTCCTTGTATTCGGTACATCTTAATCCCCGTTTTCTCATTTTTCAGGAGAATGGGTAAATGAATGGAATGTGACAGACGCTTCACAAACCGAATACCAGTTGTTTGGAAAAGCCCAATTAGAGGTCTACGGGGAAGCCTCCTTTGGCTGGTCTTATTGGACAGTCAGGTGCAACAGTGTGCACTGGGATTATGAATGGAACAAAAGGAATAGGTACCTCATTGGTAAGCAATTTATCCTGTTCTAGGTTCTCCGGAGCTGCTTTCTAATATCCAGTCATTCTATACTAAACTCTATTATCACCATATAGCATATGCAGTGGGATTGCATTAGTTTTGTGATTACTTTTGCTTGGTTTATGCCATAAAGTCACATTAAGCTTGGTCGTATTAATTAACACAGGCATATGCGTCATATAACGGCTGATGGGTAATAGTTGCTCTACTAGAACTTAGATGAGTTGCAGCGTCTATTTCACCTTGCAGTTCGATCCAGTACTCTCCATTTTCTGTGCTAACTTTTTTTTTTTCACTTCGTAGGTGGTTCACCGTTGGAAAGCCCAAAGTACATGCTTCTTGTGGCAGGATGCCTACTCTATCTTTTATTTATATTGACATGATACTTGAAACTCACCACCAGAAGATAGAATTTCTCACTTTGAGGCATTTACTCATTCACAAAAATATATGAAAAAAAAAGAAGATATACGATTCACTCTCTCTCTCTCACAGTTTTTTTTTACACTATGATATAGCAGAAGTGTCCATTCTTTGGTCAAAAGAATTTTTTTCCTAGTAAATCGAGAGAACGCAGTGCAGCCTTTGTTGAACCTGTGACTCTGAATTCTTCCTCCTTATCTGAATCCTAAAGGACAACTTGCCACTGATGATGATGACAATTACTCTACAGACAATGACATCCAGATTCCACCACCAAACTGACGAGATGAGCTGCAGTGTGAGCTATCTCATCTGTCAACTGGAAGCAGGCCGATTCCCAATTGTTACGTACGGCAAAAGGCTGTTGCTTATTCGCTCTTGCGATCTGGTTTACTTTGCCAAATCTTTTATAGATTAGTTTTGTGCGGGCCAACCAAAGTAAGTTAGCTCAATTGCAGCAAAAGGCTGGTGTTTTTTTTTCTTAAGATTGCAGTCTCCTGAAGACGAATGGATCGCTGACTGGTTGTGTTTGAATTTACTTGCCGTAGTATCCAAGTCCTCTTTAATTATAGACAGCGTATGGTTGATGATTTCAGCAGGTGAACAAGGGCTCACTTTCTATGATAGTTTCGCCAAGCAGTACGCATGAGTCAACAATTTTACACGCAGATAATTATTGCCAATTTGCCATCACGGTGCAGCCATGTACGTACGTGCATGGGTGGTTTCTTCTGTGTTTGCAGCAGCAGTAGATCTTAGAAAAATTAGCTTAGGACTAAGTCGCGATTTGAAAGTGATGTCTAGATAGATAAACGAATGAATTAACTATTGGAAGGTTAATTTTTAAAAGTACTCGAAAACTTTTACATGAATCCCATCGTTTAGGAGCTTACACCCTCCGTCTCATAAAAAAACCAACTTCTGGGGATAAATCTGGACAAATGCTTATCCAGGTTCATCCCCAGAAGTTGTCTTTTTTGGGATGGAGGGAGTACGTGTGGCTGTGTTTGTAACTTGGGGTTGGGAACCCACCTCCTTCGCACGGAAAATGAAGCAGTCCATTAGCGCGTGATTAATTAAGTATTATCTTGTTTTAAAAAAAATGAATTATTTTTTAAGCAACTTTCGTATAGAAAATTTTTGTAAAAAAACACATCGTTTAGTAGTTGGAAAAGCGTGCGCGCGAAAAACGAGGGTGAGACACCGTTTAGTAGTTGGAAAAGCGTGCGTACGGAAAACGAGGATGAGGGTTAGGAAGCAGAGCACCGAACACAGCCATGTACAAACGAAAATCTAAAATCTCGAATCAGATACGAACAGCTAGATTGATTTCTATTATCCAAAAAAAAAGTAGTATTTGCATTGAAGTAGATTATGGTATCTTGGTCTGGTCCAAAATTACCGATTTTCGTAAAAACCAGTAATCACTTACTGGACTAAAAAAATCAAACAAATTGATCAGTAACCAAACAAATAAATTCAAATTTTAAATCTATAAATTCGTAGCTTTCTGGCCGGTAACCACACGCCCTGGTCTCTGGCTTCGGATCGGTTACCGGCCGCTGTTTCTTTGACACATTTTGGAGTTTTGGTGATGCCCCACGATCACCATCCAACGGCTGTCCGCAGCTGTCGGCATTGACCCTCGAAAACGCGCGGCCGACGCCCTCACCGGAACTGGTAGTTGTAAGTAGAATATCAAAATGTCGCCGTTCTTTCCTCCTCACGCAAAGATCGTTTTTTTGTTTTGGTCGTCGTCAGCGTCGTCGCTATCCTTGGTCGTCGTCGATTCAGTTCAGCCTTAGCTGCAAGCCTCAATAAAACAAGCAGAAGAGAACAAGATTTAGGACTTAGGAGAAGCTTTTGCTCTGTTGCACAGGCACAGCATGGCTGAGTACAATTAAGGAAGAAAAGATGCTGGTCTCTGCACTGCACTTGGCATGTTCCACGTGCGTGCATATGGAACCCGTACCTTGCTCGTCACCTTTTCTTTTTTTAATAATGGAAGTTTTTACTGAATTAATTACAACAAGGTTATACAATTTTTCTGAGAACACTTTCGGTCTCTACATAACTAAGATACACACAGTCGAACATACAAATCCATATTAAAAAGAAAAAAAATGATATGGAGTATTGAGGGCCATCAATCCAAGACTCAACCGTCACCCATGAACAATTCATTTATCATCTCCATCAAAAGCACGGAGTATTAAGAACCACCAATCTTAAGACTAGATCACCACCCATATCCCTAGGTAAAAAACTCCCTGACCAACTTCTCCAAATGTAGACATACCGCAAGCACTATATCCTGCGAAACAGGTTTCTATAGAAAAGCCTATGTATGAAGCCAATGGATAAGATGATATATAACCTGCAATGGTGAAGATGTGGCTTTTTTTAATAAAAAGGCATATTATTCCTGCATAGCCAAAGCGACCAGTAGCAGACGCTCCTAACAGGTCATGTGCTTTTAGATTATTATGGATTCCAGCAAGCCAGCTCCCCAATATATGTGCTACACAATGCGGTGGAAGAAGTCCATATGCTATTTGGATGATGGAACAAACAAAATGGACAAAACGACATTCGAAGAAAAGATGTCTAATTGTCTCGTCATTGCAACAAAAACAATCGTTCTTATCCTTGCCATTTTCTTTTTGTCAAATTATCCTTTGTTAACACCACTCCACGACGCAAGTATCAAAGAAAAAAATCTTAACTTTAAGGGGTATCTTTAATTTCCAAAGACGCTTATTAATATTAGAAACATTGCTTTGAATTAGAGCTGATGATGAGACTTTAGTGAGAACTCCCCATCTTACTCGTCACCTATGCTTAGGTTTCTTTGAAACGGAAACGGTTTGGAAAGATTCTGCCCAATTTGTTAATCTCTATTTCATATGCAGACTAGATGTTAGCTACCGCCAGGGCAGTTTGAAATATATGTTTTTTTTAAAAAAAAAGTTTTTGGATTCCTAAAAAATTCTAGGGCAAGTTGTAATATGTTGAAACCTCTTATCCATATTTGTACATTTACGATGATTATCAATTGCTTGTAAAGAAAGTACGAGGCTAGTCGTTGTTCCTAGGGCCTAGCAAAGCATTAGTAAGAGTTTTGAATAATTAAGATGATCGTGGAATGTAGCATCTTGGTTCAAGTCCCCTGGGACATTTTCGAGTGGTTTCATGGGCCTATCTTGGGTTGAAGTTGACCGATAAACTATTCCGTCGAATATCTCTCGTACTCACTACTTGGCATCATAGTTAATAATATTGAAAGGTGCCAATCACGATCATAGATACACCGAGGATGAGTGGCTATTTATGCGTGCATGGATCCCACTCATCCAATACATGTGGTGGTCACTTTGGACACGTGATGACATATTACCCATGGTGCCCACATAAGTAATATCCACCGTAGTGTTTCGTGGGAATTCAAAATGAAACATTACAAGGCTTATTATTAGTCGGTCAACTGGAAGAGAGCACTAGTCGATTTTTTTTAATGGATAGGATGACTTTAAGATTTGTGTGATACCCCCCAACTCTACTGCCTCCTTTCTCCTTTCCTTCACCCCAATACCGCCGCTGACGCAATCCCCATCCCCCTCCCGGTCACCCACCAGTCCACCACCACCAATGACCCCCTGTGCATAGCCTTCTTCTGCCTCGACAGTACTAGCAAGGCCCACCAAACTGGCCTCCTTCATTCCAACCCTTCTCTTCCTATAACCGAGCAGTGGTGAGGTGCACCCATCTTCTCTGATACCTCTGCCGAGACGCCACCGTCGCTTCTGTGTGATAACCACTTTACATTTGATGCTCTCGCCTTCGATGTTGTCCCACCTCCCTCCCTCCCTCATATCCCACGGCTCTAGCACCATCTACGTGTCACTACCATCCACCACCGATCTTTTACACCTCAGCCATCCCTCTAAAGCCGCCCTCTAAAATCTACATTTTGTGCAGGAAAATGGGTGGCGGGGTACGTTCCGTTTTTTCCTTCAGGGTGGTTTAACAAACCCTTGCCCGTGCCACTGCACCTCGTTAACTCCCGCCCTTTTTATCCCCGTCCTCTCACGTATCAACACTTGCCGTGCCACTCTCTCCCTCCCGCCTTAGCTAAGCTCCCATCAATTCGCCCCACCCGAAAGGGGCAAAGGAGAAAGCCACTGACTCCGATGGGGTCGCCGCGAGGACGCCGCCGCGGCGACAATGGCCGCCTCCTCCTCCTCGCCGCCGCCGCCGTCGTCATTGCCTCGCTGGTCGGCGGCGGCGCGGCGCAGCCGACGACGTCCGGGCCCGGCCCGAACTACTTCAACCCCAAGAGCTTCAACCCGTCCATGGCCGTCGTGATCGTGGTCTTGGTCACCGCCTTCTTCTTCCTCGGGTTCTTCTCGATCTACATCCGGCGATGCGCCGGCGGGCCGTTGGGTGGGCCCGGGGGGTATGGCGTCGGCGGCGGCGGCGGTGGACGTGTGGGTGGTGGGTTCACGTTTGCGGCGGCGCGGTCGAGGAGGGTGAGGGGGCTTGACCCCGCCGTGCTGGGCGCGTTCCCGACCATGGCGTACGCCGACGTGAAGGCGCACAAGGCCGGCAAGGGCGCGCTCGAGTGCGCCGTGTGCCTCAGCGAGTTCGACGACGACGAGACGCTCCGGCTGCTGCCCAGGTGCTCCCACGCGTTCCACGCCGACTGCATCGACGCGTGGCTGGCGTCCCACGTCACGTGCCCCGTCTGCCGCGCCAACCTCGCCTTCGACGCCGGCGTCCCGCCGCCGCCGCTGGCGCCGCCGCATGCGTTGACCACCGGGCAAGATGTTGCGGCTGCGCCGCCGCAGCCGGCGGCGCCAGAGCAGGTGACGGTGGACGTCGTCGTCGCGGATGCCGAGGAGACGGAGGAGAGGATCAGGAGGGAGGAGGCGGCCGAGCTGATGCGGATCGGAAGCGTGAAGCGCGCGCTGCGGAGCAAGTCCGGCCGCCGGCCGCCGCAGTTCCCGCGGTCGCACACCACGGGGCACTCGCTCGCCGCCGCCGCCGCCGTGCCCGCCACCGCCGACGACGCCGCGGAGCGGTACACGCTGAGGCTCCCCGATCACGTGCTCCGGGAAATCGTCACCTCGGCGAGGCTACGCCGCACGACGAGCCTCCAATCGTTCCGCACCACCGCCGCCGCCGGCGGCGGCGCCCGCGCCGGGAGGAGCGTCCGGCTCGGCCAGTCCGGGAGGTGGTCCAACGTGTCGTCGCTGATGCGCACGTTCTCGGCCAGGCTGCCGGCGTGGGGCTCCGCTCGACGCGGCGCCGAAGCCGACTCTCCGGGGAAGGACGGCGCCAAGGTCGCCGGCGACTGCACCGCCTCCGTGGAGCAACACTGCGACGGCGGCGGCGGCGGCGCGTGCCCACGTCCACTTGGTGACCATGTATGATGACGTGTCCCGCTGATTGTTAGTCAAAGTATTAGAAGTACTCCACTAATATTAGGAAGGCGTCCTTGTCGTCACCGTTAATTCTCTTCTCTTTTCGGCGGCAATTTGTGTGTACATAAAGTCACAAAACTTTATTCTTCTTCGATTACAAAGTCGCAAAAAAAATTATGGTTGGTTGAAACAATTTTGTGCGATTCTATGCTTCGTTTGTAATTAGGGGTACACCATTTAATTTCATGATGAGCTTTGTCCTGTAGTACTAGTATTTTTGCTTTTTTTTCAGTTTTATTTGTTGATAGACTTTTAAGTGGAGAAATTCGTAGTAATATTGACTTGATGAACAAATGCTTTTCCTTGATAGCAGGTTAGCTAATTGTGTAAATGCAGACAAGGAGTAAGCGTCGTGTATATTGGACAACTCACCTATCTGTTCCAATTAGTCATGCGTTTCACTTTCAAAATTTTGACAAAAATATGTTATGGAAAATGATCAGCCGGCTGTTTGATACTTGTACCTACTACCCTGTACATTCATCTAGGCTATTTTGACATTTCCGTCAAATCACCATCCGGTGCTTAATTAGGCGGTACTGTCGTCCTTCATTTTTCCTTATCAATCAGGAATTCAGGACACACATAGGGCTACTTTTTCTTCTCATATGTTCATTAAAGTTATTAAAACCAGGAAAAAAGTATGTAACAAATTAATAAAAATATATTAAAACAGGGAAACAGTATGCTTTATAGTGCTGGGCTTTACTTAAAGTTTGGAAAAAAAATATCATGAATTTCAAATTCAGATATTGTCAAATACTAAGGTATTAAACACTTACACTCTATAAACTTGGCCCAAATTAAGAGTGGTTTGGGTGATGCTACAATGTAGCTCGATGCCGAACAAGTTTTTGAGTTTTTCAAAAGTAGTATCTATTGTCTAAACAACTAAAAAAAATATAAATGCTCATCTTTTCAAATAGATATGAGAATAGATTTGCCCAAATCTATTGACCTCAGTTTTACAAGACAAATTTTCATATTTTTGTGCATATTAGACGCTAAATGTTTTTCAAGTCTAACTACATGACTCCATTTACCAAATAGAGTAAGATATTACTTTCATGGGGAAATTTCGCGAGCGGAGTTTTGAGTTTTGCCTTTAGTGGCATCACTATCACAAATAACATCATACATATAAAGGTACAGATTAGCTCAGAGTAAAAAAAAAAAACGCCCTCAAATGCAAAGATCTAAGCTTGTTTTACACTGAGTTCAATGTCTAGGACAGTTGGGCTGGATAGTATAGTAACAACAAAAAAACAATTGAAAGTTATTATGATCGGAAATGGTGGATTATCCCAATGGTTTGGATGCAGTTTCATCATATGATTCACATACATTGCATACAGCGAATTATTAAGCCTTTAAGTATGGTACCGGGACAAAGATGATCCAACACAATGAAACAGTAAGAACATAAGCGCCACTAAAAATGTGCTACAGAGCATCTTAGCAGGCTAAAAATCAAATTTAATTACTTCTTTTGCTTCTTCCCTGGCTTTAGCTTTATAACTTCATCAATGTACAATATGCCTTTCCCCTTGTATACTTCTGGAGTTTTACTGTTTCGAACAGCGCCAGCAAAGTGGTGTACCCTATTCTTGTCTATACCAGTACAGCATATTAAGTTGGGTTTAAAGCAGAAGACACGAACGGCAGGTGGAGCAGTGAACTGCACCTCGTGGCTGTAACCAAGTTTCAGAAACAACTCACGGCCTTCACGCTCTGTCCTTGCTTTGAAGCCGACCCCGACAAGCTTCAGAAACCGGAAAAACTTGGCTTCCATTGCAATAAGACAGGGAAATGTCTCCGATGGTGAAAAGTTTGTTTCCTAGTCACCTTAACAAAAGAAGGATTGTAGGTTAATTGGAGAAATGAACATTCATATGTCAATAAACAGGACTACAAGCATGCATGCCGCCAGTACTGAGAATTTGAGGTATATACAAAATTACTTAGGATCAATTTTTTACTTAAAAGTAAATGCATAGCGGAGTAACGATATCCCATAGTTATGTCTCAGTATCTCAAACAGGATAAAGGTCCCACTCTAAATTATTAGGCAAATACAAAAGAATGAGAACCTGAAAGGAAAAAAAAAAAAACAAGTCCTCACTACTGAAGAGGACAAGGAGCACTGCCCAGTCCCCAAAGCACTAATTTCTTGTCTCAAACAGAGAATAAGAAAGCATTCCAGATTAGGTAACAATATGTTATCCTAAATCTTGAAATCACCTGAAAATCCTTTTGCGGGCAAAGGTACGAAATGGAAGGCAATAGCTGCAGGTGAAGTAAATTGAGGATAGGGGTCGCAACAGCAATGAAATTACTAAGTTGGACATGGACAAAGCCACACTGATTGGTGAGGCACAGATACAGTGATTAGTGTTCTTGGGAGTGTACCAAACTAGTCATTCAGAAGTTGTAGTTTCGATACCCTTTTTTTTTTGGCCGAGGACTGAAAAACCTCATGCTTCCAATGCTTGCATAATTGCCATAATTAGTTACAATTCTATGTGAACAATATCTAATTAATTTCAGGAGATTCAACACAATGCACCCATCAAGTTCATCACATGGTACACTTGTGGGAAGATCAAATCACAAGTGAAGCATGATGGACCAAATAACCAACAGGCAGCACAGAAGGATTTTGAAAGTGGTATAATGCACTAGAGCCTATGCATGCCTGCGATAAGTGTGTAGTGCTACAAGTCTACTACAAGTTAGCTATAACTAACAGTACAACATCATAAAATGCTACTGAAGCAACTGCGAGTTTCGACTACAGCAACAGGTCACTGCAAGAATACTCCAGTCTCCAAACAAATGTCTAGAACCAATATGTTCTATAATTTATTCCATAATAGCCTATTCCTTTTCTCTTATCACAATGGCTATCAATAAGTATAGATATCTCATCATCCATCCACTCAAGACCTGTCCATCATAACGATTTTCAAAGAATTTCAGAAAGGATTTGCACTAAAAATACAAGGGACGTCATACAAAGTTTCTTGAACGAATCATAATTCAGAAGTGAACTAGAATACCATTACCACCTGAGTACGAGATGCCCAATTTGAAGGGAGCTTCCGACTTTTGTGAAGAGGAGGCGTCAATCCCGTGCCCGGAGTGGACTAATCCGACGCCTCCATGACCGAAGAAAACTCACGTGGATCTGGAACGAAAATCTCGGACTCTGCAAAAGCAGAACCCTCGAAATGGAGTGAGGCGCCGCAACTGTTTGATGTCACCGGAGAGCCACCCCCACTTCCAGCCGCAGCCGGACCTGCGGACGGTGAGGCCTTCGGACAGAGTGGGTCGGCCGTCGGCGGCGCTCGACGGAGGAGAGAGGCGGCGGCGGCGGCGGCGGCGCGTGACGGAAGGGTTGTTTTGGGCCTTGGTGGGGTTTAAGGGTGGGGCAAACCTGGTGGGCCTAACATCTGGCCCACGATGCAGATGGAGGTGGGGGCTAGACTTTTGTTGAATAAGTTCTTCGATTTTTTTTTTAACCGGACACTCACCGATAGGGTGAAAACTATCACGAAAATTCCCGATCGATCAAAAGTCGTTTATGTAAAAGGGATACCATTTTCGATCTCGATCGTACCATTTTGTCTATTTATGACTTTTGTTTTTTCTAATTTCTTTCTGTGTGATTAAATATTTTTAATTTTTCACAAATTTTTCAAATAAGACGGACGGTCAAACGTTGGGCACGAATATCCACGACTACACTTATTTTGAAACAGAGGTAGTAGATTAGTACCTTAACCAAATTAAGTGTTGGTAGTGCCAATGATTTGACTTCAAACCAAAATCATTCCATTTACCTTTTAAACTAATACTCTCTCTGTAAAAAAAAGACAACCATTTGACAACATCTAGAACAATAAATTTGGATATGATATGAGGTTGTCCAGATTCATAAAATATGTGATTTCAAATTTTTATTATCGTCGGTTATATTTTTTTATAAAGGGAGTACATGGTATATTTTGGCATCAATCTAGCTTTACTAGTATTAGGCAGTAGCACACAACACCAAGATGTATCACATTTACGCCACCACGTACGGACGCGTGTTCTCTACGCACCCCTGAAATGTAATGTCGGAGACATCAAACATCCCGTACGATGGGCACGCACATTAGCATAGCATTCCGACGGTTCTTCAAGACATACCGATGTATATGCTCTGCCGGACATGCACGCCACGTTTTGCTTTTCCCGTCGACAATAGATGAGTTTAGGAATTAGGGGTTAGGACCCAGTCACAATAGATGCTAAACGCTGTGACAGGACAGATGCATAAATGTTTTGTATTCCCAGCTGGCCTAGCTGCGTACTGCCTCCGTACTCATAAAGAAAATCGTTTAGAATAATATTTAAGTCAAATCTTAAAAATATAAATCATGAATAACTCTTTAAGTTGTTGGGTTTAAAAATGTAAAAATTATAAGAATAGATTTATCTTGAAAAATACTTTCATAAAAGTATACATATATCAATTTTCAATAAATACTTTTATAGAAGTTAAAGTTATATTTTGGAGACCGTGTGTTGCTGTCCAAAACGACTTCCTTTACGAATACTGCGTGAGTATGAGTTAAACCACCACACTATACCAAAGGTAACTCTCAGAAATAGCACAAGCTAGTTTTATCACATAGCTAGTTTTGGAGACCATGTCACTGTCCAAAACAACTTTCTTTCCTAATACGGAGCGAGTATGAGTTAAACCACCACACTATACCATCACCCGTGTCAGCTCCGTTTTGCTGTCCTCACGACTTCTTGATCATCCATCTCAATGTGACAACGTTGATCATCCATCAATTAATTTTGCCGTCGGGGGTTCTCTTCCTCCACTCTCAATGCTTTGAGCCCGAAGCGTTGTGTGATCCTCTCAAGCAGCTCCTTCCGATCAGGTGGAGAAACCATGGCGTTCAGTGTTGCCTTGCCTCTCCAGCAAACGATGGCAATTGTGGTGGGATCCATGGTTATAGAACCTAAATCTAGGTTCTGATGACCTGCAATATTAACAAGATTTACATTATCACACAATCTCTTTTAGACTTTCATATGGAGTAACGTTACCTTCACGTAAGATTACAACACAGCAACCAGGTATCAATGATGCAGCTTCCTCCCCAAATCTGGCATTAATAAAGTGAGCAAAATTAACGGTCCTGTACTGTAAAAGGCGCAGGAAATCGTTTGGAGATGCACAGAGTATCCGCTTGCTGATGTATGGAAGCAGCAATGGCAAGCCCTCGTACGATAGCCTATATGCACATGGACAACCATCCTTTGATCGGTGTGTTTCCTGAGTGAGAACATAGAAAGAGAGTACTATTAGAGTAAGCTCATTGAGGTTAAAAAAATGCATATCCTCCCTCTGATTCTACAAAATGCAGATTCCTGAAAAGAGCTGATTGAGTGAACAGTAAGTTCTGGTTAGAGCACTTACAAACATTTTGAGGCCAAGAGATGCAATCTTAAGCTGCTCTCCAACTTCTACGTTCAGTTGCAAAATTTCTTGGACTGATTTTGATACATAGTATATCCTCCTTGCATTATTAGGATCGGCACTTCTAGTTACCAGATGACCTTCAAGTGGAAAAGATATATTGATCGCAAAGAACGATACAATACTTTTAATCACCGTTAGATCTCTGAAAAATAATACAGGATCAACCCCTTTCCACTTGCATTGGTCTTGCAACTTATTCATTCTATTCCCTGATTCAGCTTGATCATTTTTTACATCATCAGTAACCAAAGCAACTTCAGTTAAGTTGCTATCTTCTGAAGTATGAGCATCTATGCTAATTTTTTTCTGTTCTTCAAGCGATTCATCATCATCAAGAACTTCGGTTTTTGTCACCTCCACCATCTGGCACTCTGAAAGAATGTTAAGAGCACATGAAACATATTGACGCTATTAACAGCTTGCACAACAGCAAATCAGATCAGAATGTATGTATGCAAATGTTCATGAAATGTTTGAAATAAACTTGTGGGAAAGTAACTAAAGAGGATGTTACCGTGCAACGGGGACAGTTTATGGAGAACTGCAATGAAAAATGCCCCACTGTCTTGGTCGTGAGGAACAATTCTCATGCAACGATGCAGAGGAAAATTTGAGCTTGTACTGTTGGGAGTAGAGTCAGAATGTTTGGTGGTGTTGCTATTTGAAATTCCATCTGTATCACAATAAACTTTGTTGGTTTTTTCAATGCTGAAGTTTCTTGAGAAGCTTCCATTGCTACCTGTGTTGACTTCAATGTCATCACACACAGATTGCCCTTCCTGGATGCTATTATTTGACGGAAACATGCTTGGTAATATTACATTCTTCCTATCACAAGGGACATCGTCATGATTCTGAAACCAAGATCCTTTATCTTGAACCTGCATGAGTTGCAAAATGATTCCATTGGGAGCTTGGGCAGGCAGAATAAAACAACAAAGTTTGACCACTTTGATTATCTAACATACAATGTAGAACAAACGCTCAACTGAACACTACAGCGGAAAACTAGAATGTAGAAGTATCATATTCTGCAAACAAAAAACTAATAACAAAATCGAGGCACTCCCTCTTCATTCTTAACTTACTCCTTACCTATTTAGTCAATGACCAGTTGACCACAAATTAAGACCATCCTATTACCAAGTCAAAGAATATAGGCATGGCAAGTTGTACCGACACATTCATGGCAAGTTGAAGTTATTTTCATTTTAGTGATAAGATGTCCACAAGTGCCTGAACACCATACGCGTTATCATCCATAGGTATATATGGGCATTAGAACCATACAGAGAATGCAGATGGTATTCAGCAGGTGAAGTACTTATTGGTGAAGGTAATCAGGAAGGCTGCAAAACATGCGAAAATCCAGACACATGTCTATACCCATGAAACATACCAAGAAAACTGAACACATACAAAAAAGGAGAGGGTAATCAGGAGGTAGGGAATGATATAGAAATGTGCACAAAGTACCTTCCAAGTGCTAAGTCCAGGACGGTGGACCAATTCTGGTAGCTCATTAGAAACATCAAGAAGCTCGACAGAATTTCCACTTCTCCGAAGAAGCTGCATGATTATGAGAAATATAAACAGTTCACAGTGAGAATTTACATATGGAACATAAATTAAGAAAAGAATGTGCATGTAGTAGTAAAGGTTTGGAAAAAAAATCTTAAAATCAATTAAGAAAAATATAATAATAATATACAGTAAAAAACTGGTACCCACAAAACAGCCAGGGCACAAGCTAGGCCCTGATCTTTAACAGTTTAAGTAGTCATTTCATCTCTAATAAAATTAATATTCCTCAGTAATATTTCTCTCCCTTCATTAAATACTACAACATCTGTCCCAAAAGGAGTCCATTTTTGGTTACGAACCTGGACAACACTTGTCCAAGTTGGTAGCAAAAAAATGGAGCCCTTTGGGGACGGAGCCACAGAGGGGGGTACTACACTGCATAGCTAATTTGGCCACATACACCATAAATTCCTGACCAAGTCACCATAAATAGTCAACTGCTCCAAGTGATCAGCACGAAAGCTGTTGTCTTTGGTATTGAAAAATAACGAATAATGATGAACTGTTGACTGTATTACCAGGGAACCATCTAATGAGGTATTCCAGAAGGGCCTTGTGTTTGTGTTAAATGCTTAAGCAGCCACTATGCTATATCTGGACTAGTGAGCTTGAAAAGATCACATGGCTTAGGCTTATTCAATGAGCTTCCTTAGTATACTAATTTGTTGTGATATAAGCCCAACAAGGCAACTAAGAACGCAAACCAAAACTGCTCCAGTGGGTCCTAAAGTACGCAGAGATTAGCTCATTGCCAGTCTACAATATGTTCACAATAACAACTTCATGTTCAACAGCTCAATGGTAAATGCTAATATGCTATAATGCAGAAAATGTAACTTCGGAGTACGAAGTAATAAATACCTCAGCTATAACAGCTTCATTTTCAACAGGATTCATTGAGCAAGTTGAGTAAACCATCCTTCCACCCACTTTAAGTAAGGCAATGCCTGAAGAGAAAATTCTAGGTTTGATACTCTGGATAATAAATCACAGAACTTTCAACTAATATATATTTCAATCACAAAAGGGATTCAAACCAAATAAAATAATATTCGCATTGGCAATATGATGGACTGATGGTTTATGTGTTCTCTTCTCTGGAGGAACTTTGCAAAAGGTCCTAAGTAGTAGGGTGCTATACTGCATATGCTCACATTTATGAAACAGTTAATAACAAAGGCCATCTGATTCATAAAAGATTCATGGGTGCTAGCTCAGTTGCAAAGAGAACATCATAACATCTCATTCTCCCATGATACCAAATACCAAGATTCAATTATGCACTTAGTAGTGTTAGGGATGTTCCAAATTTTTACCACGCATAGAAATATCTACTTGGAGAAGATGAAGTCCATTCCCCATGCCTGAGTTCCTGAACAGCAGAACAGATTGTGGTCCTGAGGAAAAAAGAGTGGGGAAATAACAGCAGCAGACAGAATAGAAGGTTCAGTGCTAACCACTTTCTCCACATGTCATGACCCTTGCGGATAGTTCCATCACCACTACAGGGGACATCACAAAGTACCCGATCAAATTCTAATCTTTGAGGTTTGCAGTCTTTTTTATAAATTTCTGAAAGGTCATTTGCAATACGGCAATCAGGGAAGTTTTGCGCTTCATGGTTTGTCACTATCAGGTTGGCTGTGCACATTCTCTTCATATTGTGGATAAGGAGGTCACATCTTTGCGCGTTGACATCATTAGCTACCACCTAACCACACTCTCGTGGAGAGAAAAGATATCTAAGGTCAGTTTTCATTTCTGATATCAGTGGGAGTAATAACAATAGGAGTCGTATTAGCTTTACAAAGTAGTCAGCAAAAATAATATAGCTAAGTTTCTTTTCTGCAAACCCGTAGAAGTTATGAGAACATAGTTGAATGCTGTATTTACCAAACGAAGAAATGTACCAGTGCTCTCGGAAGTAAACCTGGCTCTTTTGATTGGTGAATCATCTCAAGTAACTGGAAAGTTTTAGAGCCTGGTGCTGCACACACTGTACAAGATGCATAAAAATTGGTCAGGCCTATGTTACTACACTGAAGGACTCTTTTGTCTTCCAAAATTCCAATCAAACCCATCCAGCATCCACTGACATTTTGACACGGAGTTGACTACTATCAAACTATGAGCACATGGAATGTTTAAGATAATGGATAGAAGCTATGCAGTATTACAGTAACATACTGTCAAGAACATGGTGATCAGGTTGTATATTCAGAAACAATGGTGGCACCTGCAGGAATCAATTCATTTATTAAAACAAGGATTAATATAAGATATCAAGAGATATTAAAATGAGTAAATGTTAAAGAAAAAACTAAAGCTAATTTGACAAAACCATCAGCTTGCAGGACATTTCAGGAACCTACATCGATAATGCAGGATTTATAAAATAAAAGCATCTGAGACATAATTCTCAAGCGAATTGGGAAGTGGTACCCACCATGCTAACAGCCTCCTGTCTGGTTATATTACCAACCTCACTCTCATGTTTCAAAAACTCATGGAAACTGCAACGAAAAAAACAATGAATCAAAAGCGTAGCCTAACCAAGATTTACATCAAGGTTGCAACAGAGTTAATTACTTAGTGATGAGCACCCAGCGATGAGCATCCTAATTCTCTCTTCTTATTGAACACAAACATGTAAAGAATCAACAGCAACAATTCTAGACAGCTTGGACACATCACTAAGTATAACAACAATTTGAGAGAGAAAGAGTAGAAAAGAGAGCAAAGTAAAATAAGTTGGTGACGACTGGTTGCATGGCATGACAAGCGATGCAACTAAACCATTCCCTAGCTTCCAGAGTTCCACAAGAACCGTTGTTTATTACACAAGAAAGGGTGGCTAATGTTCTGAAAAATTACTCACAGCCAGTACTCTTGAAACTCATAAAAATTTCAGCATTAAAATGCCATAGTAAGAAATGAAAACTGAATCCATGTAAAAGAATATGAGGTTGAGAAGTCCAAATGAAAGATACCACATGTTACACGGACTATAAATGAAAGAGTTTAAGGTAAGGGCATAAGGCATAAAATAGACCATTGCATACTACAAGAATAGCATACACATGTTGCAAACATAAATGAGACTTCAGATATTGTTTACTAGATTTTCCATGCAGCTTTGTTTCTTTCCTTTCTGGTGAAAAGATTGCAAAATTTGAAGCGGTGTATTTGGCATATACAGACTTTGACATGTAGGCAGACAGCAAAAAACATTACATGCCATAGACAAGAATTCTTATAAACATGATTAGATGTAATTACCTCTCAAGAGCTTGATTTTTCCTCAGTTGCTTTCGAGAGAAGTTCAAATGCCATGCAAGATTCCCTGGATACCAAGGCAAGGGCCTGATAGCATCTTCTCCATACTCATCACTAACCTTTGCAAGTAATTTATTTTTATAAAAAATACATTAGAATGGCAGGAACTGGTGTTTAAGTAAAGTGTGTAAATAAAGAGGGTGGCAACCTCACTCTCCAAATATCTCTTGAAGTCATTCTCTAACTTTGAGCAAATATCCTTAAAAAACTGGGAGCTGAAAAGATTAAAAGAATACAAACTTTCAGCTACTCCGGAAAAAGACCAGAAGGTGATCGAGAATAAATTTAGATTCTAGACTACTATTGTGCCATACTATCATATATAAGTAAAAAGCAAATTACTCTTTGTGAAAACAGCACAACATTTACTAATAAAAAGCTAATTTGCTGTAAGCCACTAACGGCACAGTATGTTCCTTACATTCTTGAGAGAATTCAGATCATAAAAGGTAACAGGTATTACAAATAGACTAAAACTACATGAGTTCTGGAGTGGCAAACTAGCGTGACAGTTTGCACCCATCAGTAACTCTTATCGGTTACGAAATCAGAATTCATGTTGTCCTGGTGAAGATACACAATGAACCCCTTGCATAGTTGCATGTGAATGGAAGGTAAAGCAAGATACAGTCTGATCATGAAGCAGGAACCTCCTTGAGAATTTGACAGCCATATGCTACTCATGGTCAGCAATGAGAAAACAGGAGGAAAAAAATGGGGATGAGTGGATGATTGCATATCAAACTAAAATTGTATTTATCTCATCAACGCAGGTTTAGCAAACCAAATGAATGAGATAATGAAATGAACACCGAAGCTGCAAGTCGCATTGTTTCATTCCAGAGCAACCAGCATCACCTGGCATTGATCCTAAAAGTCGCTGGCAATGGTTTCCGCAGCACACTGATGAAGTCATCCCACTCCTCCTCGCGAACAATTCGTTGCTCCTGCAAAGGCACAGCCATGAACATGCATGATGCACCAACATTTCCACCCACATACTTTCTGTAAGCAGCATTACAGCAAAAAACACAGCATATCGCCTACAAAGCAGCACACCGAAGAACAGCACTGAAACTAAACAATTAGGCAACCACCGCCATGTTTCAATCAAAAATCGCGCGCAGAGTCCGGTTCACCTCAAATCTCCCCAAACCGATAGGCACGGGCCAACCTATGGCTAAAGCGAGCAATCATTCTCACCTTGTAATACTCCTCAAAGGCAGGGTTCTCGAGGGGTGGCGGCTGCCACGAGCGGTTGGCCTCGCCGCGGGCAGCGGCGGCGGGAGGAGCGGGGCGGGGAGCGTGCCTCCAGAAGCTCTCGAGCGCCTGCGTGAGGTGGCGGCGCTGCACCCGGCCGCGCTTCCTGCCGCCGGCGCCGGCGACGCATCGCTTTCCGTGGCCGCCGGCGACGAGGAGGCTGTGGAGCGAGACGGGCGTCCTCGACGCTATCATGTTCTGGTTGTGGGGTATGGGCCGTGTGGCCGCGGGCCGCGTGGGTTTAAGCCGTCGGGTTTCAATTTGGCGAATTTCAATCAGATTCAAATTTGTACATTATGGCATTACCAAATTGGCTTAAGTCTCCTTATATTTATACAAAGTTACACACAGAGACTTTGCCGTCATTAACACTTGGAAAAACTAGTCGAAACGGAAGAACTCAAAAGGGAAAAAAAATAGAAGCAAATTGTTCAAATATAGTACGATACAAAAATCTTAGTACTCTGTATGCTTAATTGCTTCACTTATCTGTAATAACTCGAAACAAACTAGAGAATTTTGACATTACACAGCGCAGGAAAACAGAAGAGTACGGAACCGAGGTTGGTCTTTTCTTTATTCCATTTGTTAAAACGGATTATTTACTGCAAGCTTCGGAAAATACATTTTATCAAAGAACTCTTCTATTATTTCGTAGACCGTTTGTTTTTAGTTATTTGTTAAGCTTATTTATCAAAGTATTTAATTTATCTAGATAATCTATAGAAACAATTCGCTCAATAATCTGTTTCAAACCGAGATTAAGGTGAACTTGCATTTCTTATTTATATATGACAGGGTAAATCAAGAGGGTGACTTGTTTAGCAGTACATGAGTAACATGAAACGAAACTTGACAACTTGACATAACAGCTAGTACAAGACAATTGGATAGCTCACAGCTTGCCTATGGTATTTGATCTTTTCTTATCACTGTTTCTGTATATATATGACTTTCAGAGCCCCAAAGATGGGATGTTGCCCAGATGACTGTTCTTGTTCAACTGCCATGAGGCGATCCTCCTCTTTCTGAGCCGCTCGGCGATGATGAACGCCAACTCCAGAGACTGCGATGCGTTGAGCCTCGGGTCGCAGTGTGTGTGGTATCGTGAGCCCAGATCGTCGAATGTCACCGTGCGTGACCCGCCGATGCATTCTGTCACATTTTGTCCAGTCATCTCCAGATGCACCCCTCCTGGGTGGCTGCCTTCTTGTTCGTGCACATCAAAGAATGCGCGCACCTCAGCCTGGTTTCAAGAAGGCAACATAAGTCATCTTAGTTGATTTAAGTCGCCGGTCATGTTAATGTCAAATGAATAGTATAGTAGAAGTTTAAACGTGTACGATACTTCTCCCAAGGACTGAACCATAGCAGTGAAAAGTCTCAGATTTTATCCTAAACTACGGCTGGTAGATGATAGGAACTGTTGAATAGCAAGAGAACAACCAAACTACTACAACGAAGTAATACCAGTCATAGTGAAAATGAACTAGATTACAGGTCCATGAAACCATGACAGAGCTATAGACGATTGCTCTTTGTCATGCACTTTTACACGCATTTTGTTTCAAGTGTTGATAGTTATTCATATATGAATGGCAATTGGCAAACTCTAGCCACTAGTGTCCTACCACATTCTGCATAAACGAGAACCATCATTTTGACAAAGCTATGTTGTTTCAGATATATTATAATGTTTAGTTCCATCATGAAACACCCTATAAACAGCTTCTCACTGCATAGCAGCATAGTGCATATGCAATTAGGCTGTCCAGCAAATATAAGACTATTGCTCAGTTACAGACCACTGAGAAGTAATAGGAACAAGCAAATACTGAAAAGTAGGCTGTAGGCCATGCAAGGAATTACCAAGATTCTATCAAAGGAGCGAGTCTTGAGGCCACAAGGAGCCTTCATTGTGTTACCATGCATCGGATCAGTAACCCATGTTACTATCTGGCCAGCACCACGGACAGCACGTATTAGGTGAGGGAGTTTCACTCTCATGTTTTCAGGTCCCATTCTTGTAATGATAGTAATTCTCCCTGGTTTGTTCTGGGGATTCAAGATATCAATCAACTTCACAAGTTCTTTTGGGTCCATCTTGTCACTGACCTGCATTTAGTTTGATGAGTTTAGGGTGAATTCCTTTAGGACAAAGTGTGAATTACCTGCACTTTCAAATGAAGTTTGAACTTGGTATACATTATCTATTTATCTGTCTTGACAAGTGTAGGAATATTCCTATTTACCTTGATACCCAGAGGGTTCGCAATTCCTCGGAGAAACTCCACATGGGCACAATCAAGCTGACGTGTACGCTCTCCAACCCAAAGGAAGTGAGCAGAACAGTCGTAATAGAGGCCAGATGTGGAATCCTCGCGAGTAAGTGCTTGCTCATAGGGAAGAAGAAGGCACTCATGTGATGTCCAGAATTCTGTTGTTGTCATAATAGGATGGTCCATAGTGAGACCAGCAGCTGCCATGAACCCCAAAGCCTCATCAACTCGGTGAGCCAGCTCCATGTACCTGTTCAACATTGTACAAGAATTGCAGTGGTGAGCATATGGCTGTGGCTTAAATGAATTACATGAATCAATTCATCTGAGAAGCAATCAATGAAGAATTGGGACAGTTTAAGATAAAGGTAACCACCTGTCACCCTGTTCACTATGCTCTGTGAAGTCAAGGTTCCATTGTGTTACCCTCTGCATGGCAGCATAACCTCCAGTAGCAAAAGCCCGCAGCAAATTCAGTGTTGCTGCAGACTGTGAGTATGCCCTGATCATGCGGTGTGGATCTGGCAATCTTGATTTCTCATCGAATGAATCCCCATTAATGTTATCCCCTCTGTAGCTTGGCAACTTCACTCCATCCCTCTCCTCAAAGCCATCTGACCTTGGCTTTGCAAACTGACCTGCCATTCTTCCTACCTACATATTCCATGTGAGACAGTAAGTGATACAATTCTGTGCGATGTCCACTAGAAATGCATTAAAGGAACGCAAAAACAACATGGTAACAGGAGAAAAGAAAATTCAATCCATGATACAGCTACAGATTTGTTCCATTTGCAGGAAATACCTAGCAATGGAAATTTTGGTACATACAGTTGAAAGTTGAAACATATATCATGATTAGAGTATACACTTATACAGTTAATTTGCATTGTAAAAAGAGAATCAAGCAAAAGAAGATTGCAGAAGTTGAATGACAATACAGAATATCGACCAGGACAAGGGTTCTTCTATTACAGTATTTAACATCAAGTAAAGGACGCTTGTGAAAGATTTATTGTGCCAACCTAATTAAGAACATGCACTAAATATACTCATCTAATCGTGTACACAAACCGATAAATCCTTTGTGTGAACTGTGTAGTGCAAACTGATCAGAAAAACAAAATTGATTTGGCTTTCAGTTCTTGGTACAACAAAACAAGAGAACAACAATGTAAACATTTGTGATTGAACAAGTAAGTTCTTTCACAAATGCATAAAAATTATAAGTACTTGTCAAATAATTCGAGGTGCAGTAAATTAGACTGCAATTCTTCCTATTACATTGTGATGCTGAATACAAAAATCTACAGTTTTTGTAGCGAGACATAATTATTATTATTACTAGGTGAAACCCCGCGCATTGCTGTGGGAATTTAGTATGATAACAGTAAAAAAAATAACATGTAAGATAGCTAGATAACATAAGATTAAGTAAATTAATGTGGTTTATGATAATTTAAATTTAAATAGTATGTAGAATGGTGATTCAAACGTAAAAAGTAAGGTGGTATGACTTTATGGAAGAAGAAAAGTAGGGAGATAGTTTGGACCATAGATTAATCATCTAAAGGCTAAAAACAATTGATGTGATATGACTTAATTAGAGGAAAAAATGAGAAAGATAATTTGGACCATAGATTAATCATTTAAGCACTAACTAAGTGAGGATGAACTATATAAATATATAGGATATCATAAAACATAATAAAGATATATATTAAAACATTTTGTGAATTATTTTGGATGATAATTTAACATGTTTGTATTTGAAAAGCTCTTAAATTATAAAAACTATATTGCATGATGTTTAAATGTGATGATTGTTAGTGGATGATAATGTGGCATCTTGTTAATTAGTGGATGATGATGTGGCATCTTGTTAGTGGACGATGATGTGGCATCTTTGCATGATAAGCTTAAGGAGTTTGTGGGGATAACTTTATAGTAAGATATGATTAAAAAGGGGAATAAATAAGATATTCGGGGGTAATTTTATACCTTGATGATAGGCATCTGGCCTCCAAACATGAGCACCACGGACATCTGGAGGAGCACACGGAAGGTGTCCCGGATGTTGTTCGCGTTAAACTCCTTGAAGCTCTCGGCGCAGTCGCCGCCCTGGAGGAGGAACGCGCGCCCGACGGCGGCCTCCGCGAGCCGCTCCTCCAGCTTGCGCGCCTCGCCGGCGAAGACAATCGGCGGGAACGCCTCCACCGTCCGGAGCACCTCATCCAGCTCCGCCTTGTCGGGGTACTCCGGCTGCTGCAGCGCCGTCAGGCTGCGCCAGCTACCCAGCGACCACTTGCTCGGCGGCCGGGGCGCCGCCCGCACCGCGCGGGCGCGGAGGAGGCCGCCCCGGCGCGGGGCGCGCGCCGGCCACGGGGAGGAGGGGAGGGGCGGCGAGGGGCATGGCGCGAGGGGCATTTTGGGGAATAGCGATGGAGGGTAGGGTTTTCCTCTCTGGGGTTCAGGATGTGTGGTACGGAGATGGGTTCTCGCGGGAGTTGAATATCGGTTTTTGCTTAAAAAACTGTTGACAGTTCTTGAATATTAGGGGGAGGTTGTCAATTTGTAGTTGTAGGCTTGCAGCTTGGCTTCCTGATGGAATATCTTTGGAAACCGGCATAATCCGATGGAAAATGAAATATTTTAAAATATTTTTCATATTCTTATTATCTGTGGTTGAAATGGCTGACGTATACTTTCGTAAATTTTACCTATTTTAAGGTTTTTATTTATTGTCATTTTATCATATGGAGGTATAACAACGTTGTCTTCTATAGTTAGTGTAGGAAAATTTTCAACTACATATTACCATACTGCATTTGTTAGGATTAGTAGTAACCAGAATTTAAAATATAGTTTGTCTTCCGTCACAAATATATCAACTACTTTCAAATGAGACACATACTAATATTATGAATGTAGATAGATCTTATCGAATGGAATACGTCCTACAATTATGAAACTAGACAGTGTGTCCCATTCGATAAGACTTGTCCAGATTCGTAATAATAGAATGTGGCATATTCAATATTAGTTACTACTTAAATTTAGAAATTGTATTTGTAGTCTTATTGCCATAACTAAATTTATCATAACGGGGACATTTTTATCATTATATTGTATTTCTCGGCCTTGGCTTCTGGACTGTTTAGAATAGAAATATAGAAAATCTTAGGCTTCATTTGGCAGTAAGCTATCCTAACTTCTACTCCCTAGTTTTTCGTACACACGCTTTTTAAGCTGTTAAACAACATATTTTATTTTTAAAAAAACAACATATCAATCTATTTTCTAAGTTTTTTTTACTAATACTAGCAAATATATCCGTTTGTTGCAACGGGAGAAGACATTCGCTAGTGCATAGCGTAGTAATTGTAATATTGGGTGAGAACGAGAGGGAGGGCTGTCAGTGGTGGTTGAGGAGATGAGGTCAAATCCACCAGCCCCCCGAGCTCGGCGCGCTGGAGATGGCTAGGCGGGTGCCAATGTTGGGAGGTTGACAGGATCCAGATGGAGGTGGCGGGAGGGTGTTGGTCTTCGAGCTGCCGAGCATGATAAGGTCGAATGAAGATCAGATTATTGAGCCAAGTGGACGACCTTGTTAGCCTGCTCTCCTGTTGGAGTTTTTTTTTCTCATGCGGGAGAAGTAGAACTATAGGTGGACGACCGGGCCTGGGCCGAGGTCAGTTGGCTCGGCACGGTCTGACCTATACGTCGGATCGGGCCGTACCTACACACGGGCTGCACACACGGCCCATGCACGGCCCAATAAGACTCGGGCCATGCTGGCCCGGCCCGAAGACACGATAGCCCATCGTGCTTCTCCATAGAATAAGTATATTTCCCCTCTTACCTCTTTGGGTTGTGTCTTATATGGTTGGAATAAGTCTATTTTGCATCCTTCTTTGGGTTGTGTCTTATATGGCTAAGATAAGATAAGTCCATTTTAGATCCCTAACTATTTTCTTTGATCGTGCCGTGTCGGGCCGGGCCGGCATGGGCCTAACACTAGTCGTGTCATGCCGTGCTTGGGTCTCGGGCCTTATGGCCATCTATAAGGCCCGGTTTAGTTCCCCAAATTTTTTTCCCAAAAACACCACATCGAATCTTTGGACACATGCATGGAATTTTAAATATAAACTAAAAAAACTAATTGCACAGTTAGAGCCTTAGAGGTATGGGGGAAATCGCAAGACAAATCTTTTGAGCATAATTAGGCTGTGTTCAGATTCAAGGATGAAAAGTTTTGGCGTGTCACATCGGATATTCGGACACACATTTGAAGTATTAAACAACAGACTAATAACAAAACAAATTACAGATTTTGCACGTAAACTGCGTGATGAATTTATTAAGCCTAATTAATCTGTCATTAGCAAATATTTATTGTATCACCACATTGTCAAATCATGGAGCAATTAGGCTTAAAAGATTCGTCTCGCAATTACACACAATATGTGTAATTAGTTATTTTTTGTTTATATTTAATATTCTATGCATGTGTCCAAACATTCGATGTGACAGGGTGAAAATTTTTGCCAGGGGATCTAAACATGCCCTTAGTCTATGATTAGCCATAAGTGCTATAGCAACTCACATGTGCTAATGCCGAATTAATTAGGATCAAAAGATTCGTCCTGCGGTTTCCAGGCAAGTTATGAAATTAGTTTTTTCATTCGTATCCGAAAACCCCTTCTGACATTCCGTCAAATATCTGATGTGAAATCCAAAGATTTTCTTTTATTTTAGTGTTAAACAATACGCCCAGCACATTGATTTTTTCAAGCAGCAACACGCAGTCGACCATTTCCATCGTACAGTGAAATGATTGACCAAATTACAGGGGAAATATGCTTCAGCCTATTGGCCAAAGCTGGCGAGCAAGGGCCACGCTTGTAAGGCTGAGTTACAATTAAGGCTTGTAATTAATTAAGTCCTTGTATAGTTCGCTAAATGTCACATCGAATGTTTGATCGGATGTTAGAAGAGGTTTTCGGATACGGAATGAAAAAAATAATTTCATTACTCACCTGAAAAACGCGAGACGAATCTTTTGAGCCTAATTAAGCTGTCATTAGCACATGTAAATTACTGTAGCACTTATGACTAATCATGGACTAATTAGGCTCAGAAGATTCGTTTCGCGATTTCCATGCAAACTGTATGATTAGTTTTTATTTTTATTTGTATTTAATACTCCATGCATGTGTCTAAAGATTCGATGTAACATTTTTGGGAAAAATGTTTGGGAACTAAATCAGGCCTAAGTATTAACTTAAAAAAAACTTGAAAATGTACAAATATGATTTTTTTAAAGCAACTTTCTTATATAGAATTTTTGAAAAAACATAGTAGTACCATTTAATTATTTGAAAAGCAAATGAACATGAAAAGAGAGAGAGAGAGATGAGTTGAGAAAAAGAAAGGATTAACACAGTGCGTGCCATGATCGTGACTCATGAGCCTTTTGCCATTCGGTGAGTGCACCGTGTGCCACACTGCATAGCACGGTAGCAGGCTATCAGCCGAAGCCGCAGCCACGCAAGCATGCAAACCAGCACAACACAACACAAATCTGGGAAAGCCGTGCAGCGAGCGTCATCGCGTCTCCGGCTCCGCACCGCGCCGCGCCGAATCAGCGCTGTGTCAGCCACCCCACCTACCCTGATCGCAACGCCACGCGTGCGAGAGCAACGAGCCAACGAGGCGACAGAAAGCGAAAGCAATCCACGTCACCGGCGGCGAGCCGTCCATCCAAATCCAAGCGATGGCTGCACACGGAGAACAGAAAGAAAGAGAGAGAAAAAAAAAAAAGAGAATGGTGCCAAAATGGGATGGCCCCCACTTGCAGCGGCTGAGGTGGGAATGGGATGTTCAAGAAGCAATCCACTTGCGCAGCACTAGCCCACCACCGCCTCCGCCGACCCCGATCCCCATCCATCCCGCCAGCGACCGAGCAGGGTCGCCGTCGTTCGCCGTCGTCCTGCTGCTTCCGCCGCATCCATCCCGGTGAGCAGTCACATCCTCCGCCACCGCCGCCTGCGCCGATCCCCATCCATCCCTCCAGCGAGCAGGGCGGGCGCCGTCGTTCCTCCTGCTGCTTCCGCCCGCATCCATCCTGGTCACTGGTGAGCACATCCTCCGCCACCGCCGCCTGCGCCTGCGCCGATCCTCATCCATAGCGCGAGCGAGCGTTCCTCCTGCTGCTTCCACCGCATCCGTTACGCACATCCTCACTTTTTTTCTCGAATTTGCGTTAACCCTAGCTTCTGTTCTAGAAATTTGCCTCAACCTTAATACTAAAACAGTTTGATGGTTCCCAAAAAGTTTCCCATGTTAAGAAAGCTTGGTTACGCACTAGGATTTCATGATTTGTCTATCTCTTTGCACCACCAAAGGCACCAAGCTGATATCCTGGTTGCAGCAGCACCATGGGTGGAGAAGATGAGTTTCGCAGTGTTAAAAATGATCTAGTGATGGGGGTTCTGATGGCAAAAGGATGACTTGGGGCATTTTGGGGTGAAGGAAGGCTAGGCACAAACCCTCTTGAGAGGACAGTGGTGGGTTATAGCTCATGTTTAGGTTTGTTCTAAGGGATGGTATTTATCACACCTGGACAATACGATTTTGGTAAACCTTTCTAGCTAGATTTTTGGTTCTAGAAAGGGAATAAGTTGAATGTTGTGAGGATCATTGATGATTTGGACCACTTGTGCCGTTAACTCTCCTAGCGCATAAAGCTTATGTTTCCCTAAATGCAACCGACCAGTTAGATGAAGGGTTGTTACTATGAATTGATATACATAACTTGTATTTGAGGTGAACATGTTAACTCGAACAATTACATATTGCATGGTTTCTGTGACAAACTGTATACATCATCCTAGTATAATGAACAAGCTTAGCACAACTTGAATCTTGGGTCATGTTTTGCCTTGGTTCAAAGGTTTGCATCATGTCATCAATATGTCATATAAAGTGTAAAATTGTTTGTGGAATGCTAGACCTTAGCTATTTTCTTTTATATTGCCAGTGAAAATGGAAGGAAATGCTAGAGGCGGTGGGCATTCTGAGGCACTGAAGAACTACAATCTAGGAAGAACTTTAGGTATTGGTTCATTTGGAAAAGTGAAGATTGCAGAGCATAAGCTTACAGGGCACAGAGTTGCTATAAAGATCCTGAACCGTCGCCAAATGAGAAATATGGAAATGGAGGAGAAAGGTACCTTCCTTTTATAAAGAGACCACTTTAATCAATCTATTATCTTCTGTGTTCATGATCATATGTTACCTGCTTCCTATAGTGGTCTGATATGTGAACTGTCTCCAAAATTTTGAGCTAATCTAATAGTCAAGACAAAATTTGTACTGATTCTAGGATACATTTTGTTTGTTAAGAAGAAAGTTCACTTCCTGCTAATGCTTGTGAGTGTAGTCATTCTTCCTGGTAAAGAAGAAATTTTATGGTTTTACCTTCTTCGAATGCT